GCAGGAAGAGCGGTGGTCCGAACCAACTGGAGGATGCACATCTCTGCGCCTCTGCAGACAGGTAGGCATGCATCAGGACGGCCGTGTCCAGTCACATGACTGCACGGCTTACACCTGTGCAGGATGACAAAGCTGTCAGCTCTCTCTGATGCCGTTTTTCTCCTTGTTCACTCCAGACTTGAGGCGGTTCAGGACGTATAAAGGAAACTCAGTCAGAGACCTGCTGCGAGCGATGAGGAACAAGGTCAGCCTGTGTGCTCGCATTAGACCTGCTGTGTTTGTAGACCAGCAGAAACATCTGGACACACCTCCTGGGCTTTACATTCATGCATTCTGCACGTTACAGAAGCACCACTACCACGAGCTGCCGCCGGAGGTGCAGGAGACTCTCGGTGAGCTGCCCGAAGGCTTCGTCGGCTACTTCACCTCACGGTTTCCACGACTGCTGATGCACACGCACGCTGCTTTGCACGTGTGCTCCCACGAGAGGCTGTTCCAGCCCTACTATCTGCCCCCTGATGCCAAGCAGCCTGCACAGGAGCCTGCACTCGGCGCTCCACGGCACACTGACCAGGAAAGGAAGACGCCCTGACAGGACCCCGTTACTGCTTTTGTAAAGCTCATGCTGCTCCGAGGGAGGAAGTCCCAGAGCTGTGAAAAGCTTTCCATAGGCCTTGGCTTGTTGTTATGGATGAACCTGATTGTGTTTTATTTTATTCTCTTCCACAGGCGGCAGACATATGTATGAATGTTTTAAACTGTCTGTTCATGGAAACCTCCCACTTTGCTTCAGGGACATGAAACTAAATGAAACAGGGGCTGAGTTGTTGCAGCACATTTTAAACGTTCTGCACAGTTTATCTGAAGCACATCGTGTCCTCGGTCCATCCAAGTGAGCAGAGATGTTTTAACGTGACAGTGAGTGAGGCAGCAATGCAGCCACAGCGCTGCTGAGGTGTCGCGCTCAGGCTGCCGACACAGACTTTATTTGACATGTGAAAAAGCAGCCCGTCGGTCACGCTGGTCAGCTGGGTGAACAAAAACGAAGGCTTGTGTTGCTGCTACCAGGACGTGTGTTACGAGGCCGAGTGTCCCTGTCGTCCACCGAACCGTCCCTCCAACAGCTTCACTCCTCTCCTGGTGTCTGCTGCTGCTGCTGCTGCTGCTCTTGTGGAGAAACACTCCAAGACACGGACCTGCTGTGTGTTTGTATTTGGTGTGTGTGTGTAGCTGAAGGCAGCTGACTGACTGTACTCAGCC